AAAAACAGGAGAAAACTCCCAAGCGGAAGAAGAAGGCTGCAGCCAGTAAAATGTCTGCAGTTTATTCGCCGCAACCACCGCAGCAGACGGCGCCCCCGGGCGGCGTGCTGCAACCGCCGCAGCCGCAAACGCCAACGTCGATGCAGCAGCAACAACAACCAGGTGTAGGTCCCGGTGTAGGGGTAGTCGGAGGCGTTGGCATGGGCGGGCCATCCGGGGTACCAATGGGATCAGGGGGCCCAATGCAGCGAGGACCTTCCATGGTTGGAGGTGGCGGTGGACCAGTTGGACCACCCTCCTCTGTGACAAGTGGAGGCATGATGGGCGGTGTTGCCCCTCCGCCATCGTCACAACGAGGTGGAATGCCACCATCGCCTAGTCCAGCACAAATTCAAAAAATACTTGATGACAATTGTGGTCTTATTCAGACAATTCAAGATTTCCAAACTATGGGCAAGGCGCAGGAGTGCATGACATATCACATGGCATTACATAGAAATCTCGTTTATTTGGCGCAACTTGCTGATCCGACAATGAACATTGCCCAAATATTGCCGGTAAGTTTTACTTCCAAATACATATGCATATTTATATTGTTCCAACTTTTCTATATGTGAATCGTTGGAACATCTGTAGCATCCACACGTACTTCAACAACAGGCCGCTCAACACCAAGGCCCACATAGCATGATGGGTGGGCCTCAGCCCCCACAACAGGGTGGACCTCCAACTGGGGGAAATCAACCACAAATAGGAGGTATGCCACCAATGACACACGGCGATGGAAACGTGCAGTCTCCATCTGGAGCACAAATGCCCTACGGCAATCAACCTCCGCAATCGCATCCTGGTATGCCACCTAATTCGCAACAACCCCAGCAAGGTCCACCTCAACAAGGTATTAACTCTCCACAAACTGGACAGCAGCAATCTCAACAACAGGCCGGGGCATATCGTGGCACTTCGACACCTCAATCTACCAATCAGCAACCCCCACCTGTCTCAGGTGTAGGATCAAGTAAGCGTAAAGTCTGTAACAACAAAACCAATAAGTTTTTTAACTTGAATACTATTTTTAGATCAACAACGTTCAAATATTCAACCTGGGCAGCAGCCTGGCCAAGGACCACAACAACAGCAACAACCTCCAACACCCCAGCAGCAACAACAAGGTCCACCACCACAGTCACAATATCGTGGCGGTTATCAACAACAACAACACGGTCATTACCCTGGATATCCTCCACAAAGCCAACCATCGTACCAACCACAAAGCGGCTATGCCTACGGACCACCCACTCAAGGTTATGGACCGCCACCGCCAAATGCACAGGGCGGCTATCATCATGCAGGTATGCCTCCGACATCTTCAACAGTTGCCGGTCCCCCCGGTCAACATGGTTATGCCAATGCTGGCGGTCAGCAAGGTCCACCAGGTGCCTATCCTCCGCCTCCGCCCAATCAACAAGTTCCACCAGGCCAGCAACCACCGCCTTCGCAAATGTATGGCCCACCAACTGGTGGACAAGGGCCACCACCACCGCCGAACCAATATGGTCCACCTCAAGGAGGAGGTAACGCCCCTCCACCAATGGCCTATAGTGGTTATGGTGCTCCTCCGCCTAGTAGTTATGGCCAAACGTCAAACGCTTTGCCTGGTGGTTATGGACCGCCTCCACAAAGCCCTGCTCAATCTCCATATCCACCACAGTCGCCATATCAGCAGAGTGGTGCACCAGGTGGATATCCAGGTCAGACGTCACAACAGCCTCAGACACCACAAGGAACGAGCGGCGGCTACAGTACTTCACCAAGTCCCGGCCAAACACCTCCATCACCATCAAATCAACAAGCACAAAACGCAGGCAATCCGAATGGACCAAATGCACCCCCTGTAAGTGTGCAATCCACGTCTCCTTCGACATCGTCTGGGAATATTGGTGTCAATAGTGGTCCGCCCAATCAACAAGCACCATCTACTCAACAGCAACAGCAGCAACAACAACAGCAGCAATACGCTACGCAACAACCATCAGTTTCAGGCGGTCCGCCACAGCCACATGGCTCTACAGCCCAACAACAACAACAACCTGTTTACTCTGCAGGAACGCCTTCGGCAGGTCCATCGCCATACGGAGCACCAACACAACAACAGCCGCCTGGGCCAAGTGGACCCCCTACGGGACCACCAAATACCACAGCACCGCCAAATGGTACGCCACCAATGCCCAATCAACAATATCAACCGCCACCAACTGCACAACCTTATGGTGCGCCGCCACCACAAGCATACGGGCCACCACCACCTGGCGGAGGATACCCTGGTCACGGCTATCATCAACCGCAAGGCGGATACGGTGCTATACCTCAGGGACAATATCCACCCTCGCAGAGTTATCAAGGATATCGACCCACCGGTGGACAAATGCCGCCGCCAGGTGCACCACAAGGCCCGCCAACTAACGCATATTCATACTACGGCAATCAGCCACCACAGTAATGTATGTACATACATAAAGTAAAAGAAATGTACGACTACAGAACTACGACTAACTACAGAATTCATTCAATGACTACATAAATAAATAACCATGCTAATAATACAGCGCAATGAGTTGGTAAGCTCAATTGGGATCAAACACATTGACTTTATATACTCAATGCCAAAAGCCATTAGCGCAGAGAGAAGGAATATACATAATTGGTGCAAGTTGAAAAAAATGGTTCGAATATAAAAGAACGGCTATGGTGAAATGATTAGAATATTTGGTAAATCGGGAGAAATTCAAGTTCAATTTGTCCATGTGGATATAAAGGTTCCAAAACAGTTTTTAAACTTGTGGCAAATGACTAAGCTACGAAATTGAAAAATGCTCATTTCCCGAACTTAAAAGATCGCGCCCTTTGCAGCGAATTAATTTTAATTTTATTAGTAGGAGAACTTTTTGAATATACCCTTTTTATTAAGTTTCGGTACACTAGTCTTTTCACACGGTCTAAGCAGACTAATGCCGAATTTCCGCTGGGCATTGAAATGACAAAAAATTTATGAAACCGGTTATATACTTGTGTACATATATGGTATATATGTAGTTATGTAAGATTTTTCTATCTGCCTGTGTTCATACCGCCTATATCGGCGGCTGAATTTTCTGAGGTAAAATACTACTCCCTTCCATTTTTCACACATGGAAAGTCGGTTTCAGACGGTGTGAAAAGATTAGTGTGTCGAGGCTCATTGACTATTTTATAAAAAGATTTCGATAAGGCCTAACGGAGTTAAACCAACTGGATTTAGAACCCGCTAAAAATACTAATGAAAATAATATCTATTTATTTATAAATATATATATGTACATATCGTTACCCTAATTTATAAAGGCCCTCCTAACCAACACTTTTTTCGAAAATGACTTTTTCAAGGATTTTGTTATGATGTGTTGAAAAACACCTTCAATAAAAATTTTAAAGTGTTAGTACCCTTGCTGTTTATGATGCTCTTTTTATGTTTTTGCTTCTCCTGTAAAATAAAAAAAAATAAAAATGTTGGTTAGGGCTTTTGTGAATTATGGTAACGAAATATAAATAATGTTTTCATTTTAAGGGCCTTGGGACTTGGCGAAATTTTTGTCTAACTGTAATTTTTTTATTTTGTTAGTTACATCAAAATTGCGGTAAGGACTTTATATCCGCTAAATTATGAAATGTTAAAACGAAAACTAATGTTTATTGTTTCGCGCGTCAAACATAAAAAAAAAGAAATTCCTAATACTATAATATCTTTATTAAAATTAAGTGTAAAGATTTTACAACAAACGTAAGTCGAAATACAATGAAAAGCATGTAATAATGTTTTAATCAAACGTATCTAAATCTAAAGAAATAAAATTATGCATCCTCATCTAATATTGACTACGGAAAATTGTATCCATTTATTAAAACAGTTAAATATGAACCTGTCTTGATAGATATCAGATATTGTAGTTTACATTTGGTTGACAAGCCGCCGGGCAAACAATTTTTTTTTTTTTTATAACATTTAATATCACCACTATCTTAATAAAACCGTTTATGTGTATTCGTCACATTTATACAAAATCAAAAAGAGTTTTTCTTGCTTACATTATTTAAGTATTTTATAGGTCTTAAGCAGGGATAACACGATTTGTACATTTGGCAGTCACAGTGTGGTATTGTCTAGGAATTGTTACCGATTATGCGTTCAGGGCAATAACATCTTTCCAAACAACACCACTTTGTAACAGTTAAAATGGAGAAATCTGTACACATCGTGTGATCCCTGCTTAAGTGTTTGGCTGAGCTTCTCCGATTTATGGCGTGCGCCTTATGCGAGGGACCTACAGTTTTACGCTGACTCCGAGAGAAGATTGTGGGCCTGTTCGAAACACGTAATAAAAGGGGCATTACTGCTGCACTGTTGTAACTGCCTAACTTACAATACGATGCCAGAAAGTCACACCGAAGGTGATACTTTAATAATTCGCGCAACACTGCGGTTGTGATTGCAACTCGAATACACTCGGAGGTTTGTCATTGTTTGCCGAGGGGCGACCGCATTAGAACTTTTTTTTTATTTTTTTTTTTGTGGTGGTCGGAAACTGGACTCGAACCCAGGCAATGATGATGGTAGCGCCCACTTCTAACCACTACACAGCGGCCGCCCGGTTTTAATAAACCAACTTAAAACATAGGGTAACATTACCCATTTAAAATGAGATATTTGTTATTTTGTTAAAAGGCTTTTTATAAGAACCATCATTATTTCACCGCTCCGATAGTTTAGTTTTGAAAAATAAGCCAAAACCCAGACGATATCACCAACGTCATGCCGTGGGCCACCTAGCGGATTAATTCGTATTTCATGTTGCATTGTGTTCGGGTTCTGAGCTACGTTTGAAATTGCAAATCTTATGGGGAAGTTGGTTGGAAATCGATTGCAAGATTTGATCCAAACCAATACTTACATACATACATACATACAAAGCAAGTAAAAATACTTATTAGTTAATACAAATAAATACACACCCCTTTATTACTAAATGATTGATTAACTAAATTATTGTGTTTGGATGTTTACATAGATACTAAATAGTTTTATATCCTCATAGGCTATGTAAGCATTTTTTGTTGGTATATCGCCATTCATTCAAATTTTTGATGCAATATTTGAGCATTCGAGTGTTCAAATATCATCTCATCGTGTTCTTCTATTTGTGAAGTGCCGTTGTCCGTTTCCTTTTGCTTCCGTTTGAATAACTTCTGCCATACTTTGCCTATCAGTGACTGTGGTGGCGCATCTTTATGCTCCACAACTATACGCTTTGTAGCAACGCTATGGATTGGCCCAAAAGCCAAAGCAACAACTGTACAAGCTAGACAAATGACGTTGTATGGCATACTAAAATCAGGTGTCGGTAATGATAATATAAGCGATTCTGTGCGAATTTCTAGAAAATATGACGGTCGCGATGCATTGAATGAGTCAGCAAAAAGGTATTTATCCACAGGAATGGTAGAGTAGTTGCGACCAATCGGTAGCTGAGTAGTGATTATTGCCGATCCTAGGTAGTGTCCATGATTCGCATCGGGTGGATATTCAAGCCATTTTAGGAAAATATAATCAAAATCAAAAGAAACTTGCACTGTACTCCTTGGCGGTATTTCAAAAACCAATTCCAAGTGATAGGGACGCACTCGCTGTACACCAGGTATGTAGTGCATTACAAGTGGTCGTATTCTGTAGTCCGCACCGTTTTCCTTTTGAACAACTAGATTAAGCGTGTGCATATAGGATGGTACAAACCATGGTATGTTTTCTTGCAGTACGATAGGCAGCTTAGAATAGTGCTTATTTGTTACTTGCGTCACTATTTGGCCTCTCTCCTGACCATGTCCAAGTATGTAACGATGTGCGTATATCGGAGGTGAAGGAGTTATGAGAATAGCTGGATTGCTTTTGCGACTTATCCAGGCGATATTAAATAGTTTATCTGCATCTAGACGTTGAATATCATAAACTCCATAAGAAGTAGTGGTACCCCCACGCTTCGATGTCAAATTATGCATTGGGGTTGGTGTTAAATCGTAAGGTTGATCATCCAGATTTACATAAATTTTACTACTTTTAGACAGTGAACAGTACCCATTCAAACCCTGGCCAAAGAGACGTCGTAGCGAAAAATCTCCATTCGTGCCTAATAGTTTCGGGTCGTATACCAGATTAGCTGTTTCTGTGAATTCTAAAATACAGTTTTTATTATACGATTCACATATCGTTCTCATTTTAATGCCCAAGGAGTGATAATTTGTATTGTGCACGTAACCGGAATTGAGTAAAGAGGCGAAACCCTGTTTACTATTACAAGGTAATAATTTTTTCCACGGTGTTAGATTCTCGGTACAAACGATTTCTCGCGGCAAACTTGCATATCGTATATATTGTGGTATATTTACCTTTCTGCCGATAACGAATTGAGGGCGGAAACTAAACTTTGGCTCTACACTATTGGTTTTGTCAATGAAATTCAGAGAAGCGCACAGAATACCGGAAAACGTGCTGGCCAGCTTTGTCCACTGATCATCCACTTCGCTTGTTGTCAGATTTTCTCCCGCAAACCATGCCCACATTTCTGCACCTGGTGCAGCGTCCACCACAGGAAAACCAAAAGTTTCATACCTCCAAAGTCCCTGAGTTAGACCGATATGCAGTTCCTTAACATCGTAAAGCAGCAATGTTTCAGCGATCGGGCGAGGTATAAGCTGGGTGTTGTGTACTAAAAGAAAAAAAATTTGCTTCAAATTGTAGATTGGTTTAAGATGTACCTACAATTTTCCCTATCTCCATAATGCCAACGAGTGGTGAACTGGAAAAATGTGTTTACATATCCATTTGCCATAGGTCGTACATAGAGCTCCTCATGAAATTCACTAGACTCTTTCACGGCTCCAATAGGAGAAGCAAGTAGAGGGATAAGGTAAATAATACTGAAACCTCGCAACATCTCGACGAGATTTTTAACATATGCGGTACACGTAAAATTAAACAAGAATATCCATCCCTGAAAATATAAAACAATTGGAATGCCGGCTGATTAGGAATGCTAACGATACATCGATGTACCGGCAAAAAACATCGATGTTTTTAACGCTTAATTACCGATGCATCGATGTTATTTTTGTCGAAATCGAAACGTTGGGAAATATTTTGGGTGCGCTTTAGATTGGTAACCCCGGAGTAGAGCATTATGGAAAATATGGGAGGTAGAGGTAGAGGGGGATTCTTGTTGTTGTTGTAGCGGCTCTACTAATAGTAGCTACACACGACGAGCATATCCGCGCACATGTGCACCAACATGCTGGCTGTCGTTTGCTACAAACGGCGAGCGGCTCATAAATGATTTTGTACTCAAAGCGTAAACATGGAAAGGAAAGTCGCGGATGATGCAATTGAAATACTTATGACTTAGGGTTTTTTATGTATGTGTTACTTAAATTTATTTATATTTTACTTATATGTATGTACATACATATACATATAGTAATTTAGCCTCATTTATCAAAAATTCAATTAACGCACATGGCTTGGATGCATTTATCCGCGATGTGCACACTGCAAGCATCAACACAAAATGAGGTTGTTGTTTTTGTTTCCAATGCGATGCTCGCAAACCACGCTACAAACGACGAGCATGCTCGCTGAAAATCAAAATTTTTTGATTTTTGGCGAGCATGCGCGCAAACCGCCCTACAAACGACGAGCATGTGCGCATGTGCGCGGATATGCTCGTCGTGTGTAGCTACTGTAAGCCCCGCCTTTTTCGGGTCTAGAGGGGGGCCTAACAGTTCCCTGTATGAAGTTTCAAAGCGCGCAACCTTATACTTTTTAAGGAATTTGTTATTAAAGTTTGTAATTTTAACCAACTTGTATGGCACTATTTTACAATATATAATGCACTTTCCACTATTTACAGGTTATTTACATTCAATATAAGCGCAGTTAGGCACTCCGCACATTAAACGCCTAGTTATAGTAGTGTAATCGTTCCGGCGTACTAAAGTATTAAGCTTTTATACCGAACACATGTATTTCAATGAAACTCTGTATATTACGATTCATAATCATGTTTTCGCCTAATCATAAAAACTTCATGAATCGAAGCGCCCAACCATGTGCTCCAAATAAAAATTATTTGTCATTTCAGTAGGAAATAATTAAAAATTAATGATTTCGTGCTAAAACTCGTGCCAATTGTATTAAGCCATAAACATTTATGCAATATTTTATTGCAGAAATGTTCGCGGAAGTGTATTAGTGAGAAAGACCGTGTAATGTGTCACCTGATTTACATGATTCAAGTACTTGAAAGCAATTCTTGCTTATTATCTTTTGTGGTTTCTATTTGCTTTTACACGTTTCAATTCTGTTGAATTCAAGTTTTTGGTTCTTTAAATGGGAAGCAACGAAAATGCCAAAAGCAAAGCAAGAAAGTTGAAACGACTTGACGGTACAGACGCATGTGTACTCGTCCCTTTTCTTCTCACCCCCTCTCTTCCACATGCGAGCAGAATTGAATTCAATACTTGAACTGTGTAAAAGCAGTCTGTGCGCCGGCAGGGCTTACGCAGGGCGCCCAAGTGTGCAGAAGTCGAGTCGTCATGCATTCCTTTTGACATGACAAAACGATTACTCTACTATAATTAGGCGCGTAATGTGCAGAGTGCCTTAGAGTGTGCACGCTCAAACAAATAAATACTTTTAGTATACTACAGCTTTTTTATCAAAAATTGATTGTTGTTTAATTTTATGAGAGTACATCACGGTGCAGCGAACAAAGGTGGCGCCGTCAGTGGTACCGCTACTTTGGTTTTGCCGATTTTGACAGTTGTGGTAACTTGTAAATAAATCTTTGTTTACAAACCAGCGAAAGAGAAATTTGAATTATGAGTGAAAAATGAATTTAAATTGTGTTTATTTGCAATTTTTGAGTTGAAGACTGCGTAAAAACTAATAAAATGTAGTGCTGTGTGTTAAATTGCGACAGCCATCAAGATACAAGATGCGTAGATGCAAGTGTAGCGCTGGACGAATCGCTGCATTTTGTGTACATAGGGCACGGCAAAGCCGTTCCCAAAATGTTTCTTTATTATTACATTAACAACATTTCCTCACAATGATTTTGCTTCTGCTCCAAGCAGCCTCCATTAGCAAGTTAAAGCTTAGTATCCAGCTCTTAAGAAAACAGTCAAGAAAAAATTGCCATTATTTCGCGTGTGTGTCCAAGGAATTTTGACATTTTTTATACCTCACAGCCTGTTGCCTCACTCTTTCCTCAAGAAATAATGGAACGGGCATATATTTCTGTTGCAAACCTGGGTTGCCTTGTGCTCTTTTTTCACAAAAAACTTTAGAAAACCGTAGTAGAAAGCGTACTAAATTTCTGAAGAACTGCGTACTGCCTTAAGGCCCTGTCTCCACAGGAAAACACTGATGTCGTGATAACCATGTCACAAAATATATTTCCAATGGAGACCGCCTATTTCTTATGTGCTGCAATATATGTCAGCGCTTATTGCTTGACATCTATTGCAGGCAACTCGATAGTTTGACAGCCATATTTTCATTTGAAAGAAAGCGTGCTGGTGGTAACATCGATGAAATTTTGATATTAAATCAAAATAAAAATCTGTTCCGTATTGGATAATTTATGATTACGTTTTAGGAAATTATTTAGCTGGTTTTTTAAAGACTTAAATGTTTTTAAACACCGAAATTGAGAGAATGTTGTCTGGTGGCGTCATGCGGCAAATGCTTATTTCAAGACATCAAAGTGCCCACACACAAAAACTTGCAATCACATTGCTCGTCAAAATGACAGTTGGTAGGCCATCGCTGTTCGCCTGTGGAGTTCTGCGGTAAGGAAATTTGACTCAAGAAAATTTCTTAGCCATTTCTTGTACGTCATTTTATATGGAGTTTTTGCTTTTCTTAAGAGCTGGATACTAAGCTTAACTAATCAATCCCGCTGTGATGCTGCCGCAGTTTTCTGCAGCAGCTTTAATTGCAAAGCAATGGAGTGCACTAAAACGTTACCTTTTCTCTAATAGATTAGGTGAAAAATGCAATATTTTCGCATTTAGCAAAATTAAAACACGTTTTTCGCTGTAAAGTGAACTCTTTTGGCAGTTTCAACTCGTTCTTCTTTTCGCTCTATTCTTTGTTTACTTGTGGTACACAAATGTCAACGCCCAGGACGGCGCAATCTTGTATTCTATCATTCTTATTCAATCTTGTATCAGGATCATTGTTGTTGAATTTGCGTGCAAAATTTTAATGCGGATCCCGATTATTGCCGAAGAAAACATGGCTAGTGTAGCGACAGAGTTGCATTGGCTTCAGTTTATTCAGTGAAATCGCTGGCGAAATTTATCAGAAATGTGTAAACTAGTTTCCATACAAATTTTGACAGTTCATTTATAAGGTTTACACAATTAAAAGTTTATACGGTTTACAATGCACTTATAACGTTTGATGAATACCCTTAGTATTATATTCACAAATTGTGGAAAAAGTCTATGTATTTAAAATAATGACAATCAAATTTTTATTGACTATCGTAAATATTTTTATATTCACTTACTACTTACACTCTTTGACATTGAGTAAATTTTTCCAGTAGATACCAGTTACGGATTAAAGTTGTTTTGCTTGTGGGCTGTATTAATAAAAAAAAAGTGTTTCTTTGCCTCCATGTGACAATGATTCTCCCACTTTTTTTAAAGAACATTTTTATTATAAAATTTTACTGTATGTGTAATTTAGCCGAAAATACAAAGTATACAATGAATATGGGTGTCTCCAAACTGGCGTTACGTGACGGTCGTATGACAAAATGTAAAAAAAAATAAAAAAAAGTGAAAATTTGAAAAAGGTTTTTCTAGATTTTCACAGCAATTAAATGTCCCCTTATCAATAAAAATTACAACTATTGGTAGTAGCGATTTCAAGATACTAGTAAACATACGCGCTGGCGTGACGTTACGAAAAACAGAAGTGGATTTTGAGTTGGGTTACAAAATTGCAAAACTTTGCGAATTGAGCAATACTCTTTGTATATAAGTTTTTGTAGTAATATTGGAAATTTTTAAAGTTAATTTTCCAGGTCTTTAAATGTAGAAATCTTGTATGTTATGTTTAATTGACGTTACCAGGCGTTACGTTCCTAAAATTTCCATTGAAAAAGTTTTGTTAATATTGTTGCGCCAACTAACGAGACCATTTTTTGGCAAATATGTTTCTGCTTACATAGCCAGTACATATTATAAATAGCAGCTAAATCGGCCTATAAATAAGTTAGATATAGAACTTTTAATTTTTTTACGCGGTAGACTGGAATCACCCATATGCAAAAAAAAACCAAGCCCTGAATTATTCTCATATTTAAGTTTTATTGGTAACAGTGGCCACACACGACAAACAAGTGCGCGCACATGCTTGGCTTGCGGTGCATGTTCGTCGTTTGTGGGGCGTTCACGAGCATGCTTGCCAAAAATCAAAAGATAATAGGGGTCTTCATCAAAAATGATGAACTGTTGATAACCTTGATAAAATTATAAATTTTTCATTTTAATAAATGAACTGCCAAACTTTAGCTTTTGATTTTCAGTGAGCACGCTCGTCGTTTGTGGCGTGGTCTGCGAACATTGCATTCGAAACAAAAAGAACAACCTCATTTTGTGTTGATGCTTACAGAGTGCACATCGCGGATAAATGCATCCAAGTCATGCATGAAGAATATTACAACTTTTGTTCGTTGTGTTTGATCAAAAGTTTCTCCATAAATTTCTCTAGAAATGCACATACATGTTTTCGTTACAGTGGCTCTATTGGAGAATGTTATAGAAAATACACACTTTGACAGCGCTCTCATGAACGAAAGACACAAGATCACGTAAGAACAAGAGAGTGAAAAAAGTCGATTTTTTTAGCGGGCTATACGCCATCTTGTTTCACTGGAAAACGAGCGAAAAGTAAACAAAGCAAAGAAAACAACGAAAACCAAAATTAGCCAAAATTATTGTCAGCCACTTTAAACGCACAATTTAGTTAAAATGATGCAACAAAATGCTTTAAAATGTGTTGTCATGTTGAATTAACTTTTCTTTACTTGAATAAAAGTGTAAAATAGTGGTGCTTGTGATGTAAACAAACGCTCAGCTGACGAACCCGCTTTCCCAAACTTTTTTCTCAAAACCAGTT